GTAAATCTTGTTAGGTAAAGCTGTTGAGATTTGGGGATTGTTTGTTATAGCAGTTGGTATTTTATTACTAATGCACTCAGGTCCATATATTTCTGATTCAGTTTTTGATTTCTCAATAAGCAATACTTGGCTCATTCTGAGGTAAGTGTCTAACCTTGGGGTGTTGCAGGGTCACTTCAGGTGCCCACTCTTGCAAGTTGAGAGTTATTCCCACAAAGGGGAGTCATTGTGTTCAGGGCCGCCATTATAAGAGTGTCTCCTACATGAAGAAAGATAATAATCAGGAAGAAGTTAAGACCCACAGAACCTCTTCTGCTGACTATCAGGGTAGGACAAAGAGCAAAATTTCCATCATTCTTTCCATTCCTCACATATCCCTTTAGGACCTGTCCTTCACTCTTGGAGATAGGTAACCCTATCCCCTGGGAAATATAGATAGCATAAAAGTTAAAAGACCATTTCTGTTGGACATTGTGATCAAACATTCAGCCTATTCTCCTTACTTGGGGAACATAAGGATGCAAAATGCCTGTTATCTTCTCTCCAGGGAACAGAAACATGAGTGGCAAAGAAGACACTCCTGTTAAATGAATAGTGACATTCAGTCATGGAACACTGAGGTTTAGGCGAACAACTGCAGTGGACATTTGACATTTTTAAAAATCCTGGCCCAGCACCTCAGCTCTCTTCCTTTTGAGGAAAGTCCTGTTATCTGAGTTGAATGGAGGCAAGACCTTCCCTCTTTTCACAGAAACTAAAGAATAAAATACCCTCCGCTGCTCCTTCCTCCCCAGTACCTCCTGCCCCAACTGATAGCAAGAGTATGATCAGCCTATTGAATGCTGCCACTCAGGAATTTGAATCTTCAACAAGTGAAGCAAAGGTGAAGAAAGGGTTCAGAATGCACATCCAGTGGCAGTGTCTCTGGGCAGAGGCAGAAGTCTCTGGCAGTGTGAAGGTCCCTGAAGAGGTGTCCTAACCAATTCTTAGACCTGCCCCCAGGGTTGTGATCCCTGGTTGCTGGTTGAACGTAGGTCTCAAGTCTCCCTATTAATTGTAGGAGCCACTCAATCTCCTTCTGATAAATTCTTTTTCTCCTTAAACCAGGAACCATTCTTTTGTTTGTTTGTTTGTTTGTTTGTTTTTGGTATCAGGGATCAATTCAGGTCCTTGTGCTTGCAAGGCAGGCGGTGGAACCACTGAGCTAAATCCCTGGCCCCAGATACCATTCGTAATGCTTGCAACTAAGAATCTTGACTGGTAACAATAATTTTTTCTTCTTTTTTGACAATCTGACAGACATAGTGTTTAAATTCTTGAAAGTGACAAGGCACGTGTTATAAGATCCACCTCTCAGATGTAGATCACTAAATTAATTAAAGGCTGAGATATCTTTCTTCTTTACAAACGCAAAAGGCTGTGAAAGGAAAAAGATCTGAATCATGGAGAGCATACTAGAAACCTTGCTGCATTTTTTTTAAAGCACCTGCTGGGGCTGGGGATTTAGCTCAATGGTGCTGCTGCCTGCAGGCACAAGGTCCCCAGTTCGATCCCTAGTACCAAAAACAAAACAAAACAAAGCACTTGCTGGCTCTTGAGTGTCTTTCTGGGGTGACAATTTAGTCTCAACCCCCCCAAAGATAATCAGGCCTGACCACTTGTCCCTGCAAACAGGGGAGTCTGGAGGCGTCTTCTCCAGTTACTGTCACCAGAGTGGGGCTTTTTAGTAGATAGGCTACAAAGGACCATCACTGCATGAAGGGAAGCCCAGAGACAGAGAAGAATGAGGGGAGGAGGTACAGCTAGTTACAGTGCAAATGAAAGAAGGGACAGGCCACCTTATGATGGAAGAGCCTTCCTTCAGGGTCCCCGTGGGAGTGCTACTGACTAACTCTGACAACAGAAGTGTTTCCATAGACCCTTAAGGTTGACCCAGGTCCATTCCACACACTTGAACTCTACCAGATGATAACCTATGCCTCCATTGTGGAGTTAGGCAAGGAATTCAACTTTAATCAGCACCACTCCTTTTACCCTCTCTGTGACTGGGTTGGGAAACAGGCCTCTCCTCCCCTTAATGGGCCTAGCTTTCCCAGTACTGACCCTAATACACAAAGAGCAATCAGCTCTCATATGCCTAACTCCAAAACCATGTTTATAACACCCCTGTCTGGTCAGCCCACTTACCACCTTTTTAAGTGAGAAGGGGGCTGTAGAGACATCCCCTCCAAGGAGTGGCCTGCCAGGAGGATCACCTGTCCAGTGTGGACAGAACTTACAAGATAAAGTGGTAAGAAAGTGGAGCCAGAATCCCAGCTTTAGAAGCAGGTTTAACACTACCTGCTCCTACCTTTCCTGAGCTCAGGCATGGGTATTATATGGCATGTCTTTCTCACATGAGTTTTCACAGCATCATCTCCTGCTGACTCTGTGTAAGCTTGGCCCAATATGCCCTAAATCTATTGGCTATTCTCTGAAAGTCATGCATTTAAAACTGTACAAGTCTTTGTTTAAGAACTTTAGTGTGTCTGCAAGAATTAAACAGTACACCAGGTGTTTCAGGTACAGAGAGGTTAGCCCTGAGGCCAGTTTCCCAGTGACATCCCACACTCAGGGGAAGTTTTATGAGAATCACTTGGACAGGTCTCAGAACCCCTCCAAAGCTGGAAGGGTGGTTGTGGGTGGATGGAGCCAAAGGCTTCACAGCCCTTGGCTACCACCCCAGAGCAATCCTCTTTCAAAAAGGAGGGAAAATAGCAGAGAAGAAGAAGAGAAACAGGAAAAATTAAAGTAGTAGAGGAAGAAACAAGTTTAAAACCAGTTTTTGTTTTCTCTAATAACACAATAAATACCAAATGCAAAAATGTTGAAAAAATTAAGAAAAAGTTGACCTGTAATCTAATAAAATTAAGAAAAAGAAGTTGACCCATAATCTGATAACTTGGAGAAAATCATTATTATAATTGTTCTGTATGTACCCATATGTTTCTATGAAAATTACAAAGATAATTTAAAAATAATAGACATATATGTATAAACACACACCAATATACAAACATTCACATATACATGAACAGTACACAGTACTAATCCATTGTTCAATTTTTCTCTTAATTTATGGTGAAACTCTTATGTCATAAATAAGTTAATATCATAGTCATCATTGTTATGATGGTTAAGTAGTAGTACTCTGTTATATACACAGCACATTTACATACCAAATCTCTTATTAGTGGACTTTTCAGTATTATAAAAAATGTTTCCATTACTCTCACATATTTTTGCAAACTTCCTTGGTTCTTTCCCAGAAGTACAATTGCTAGGTAAAAGTATACACTTTATAAAAGGATCTTCACAGATTGCCCGGCAGAAAAGTCATACCAATGACTACTAGCACATGTGGGTGTCGTATCCACCTCTCTACATCCTTTAGCTCTTCAGCCATCTAGGTTGTTAATACAATACCTTTGCTTGGTTTTGGATACAAGTGCAGCTGAACTACCTCTCACATCACCAACAATTTGGTAATGTATTTTCTTTGCATATCTTTTACTTGGAGTGTTCATTTTTACTTTCTTGTTGATTTTTAAAAACTGCATTGAAAGGTCTTAGTTTTGCCATGTGTTGCTGTTGAACTGACACTTAAGATTGAAAATAAAAAGTAATAATGCAAGAAATATTTTAAGTAATAAAATTAAAAATAAAGAAAATATCACTTTGAAATCCAAAGAACGGGAAATTTAGATGATACAAAATAAAGCCAGGATAGAGAGAAAAAACTTTAAGATGGGGAAAAAAAACCCAAAATAAAAATAACCAATAACAATAACAACATAAAAGAGAAATTCCAGAACAATTCTAATTTGTATAATAGAAGCTGCCTATAAAAAGACAAGAAAACAAAAATTGCTAGTAATAGAGGACAATAGGATGTATCCTACACAGGCTATGGATAGTATCTTGGATCTTTAATCAAGTTCTCTGTAGAGATCTGCAGAGTAGATCAAACATTAAATAGTCTCCAAATCTTTTTCAGTGCTCTACACTTGTCCAGACCATTAGCAAATCCTCCTGAGGAGGCCAAATCCATTTAAAATGACACTTAAGAAGAGAAGACACAAAGGAAGGTAAGAAAAGAACAACAAAGCACAGGGTGGAGTCTTGATGGGAACTGGTAATCTGTCATTCTGATCCTATTGTCTCTTCTTTTTGTCCACTAATTAGATCAAGCAGCTATTAGAGGCACAGACACTAACAAGTAACTCCTTTGGAAGAAACTATAACCAGTGGGATGACTTACTCCACCTACTTTCTGTTTCATGAAGGATGGAATGAAGTAAACAAAATTTCAAGGAGATCTATGTACTGGGAAAGGTTTTACTTAAAAGTACAAGATTGTTTAAAAAGGGCAAAGGTGTGCATAAACTGCATGCATGTTCATTTAGTTTTAGCAGGAATAGTGAGAGATCAGTTTTGCTATTTTCCCCATTATAAGCATGAGAATACTAAGGTTCAGAAAGGATAAATCACTTGCTTTATCAATGTGCTCCCAATAGTCATTATGGAGCTAAAATAAAAAACAACTTTAGACCAGTGCTGTCCAGTAAAAATATAATGCAAGCTACATATATATGTCAAAAAGTGAAAGAAGGGTGTAGCTCAGTGGTAGAGCACTTACTTAGTATGCACAGGCACTGGGTTAGACCCCACTGAAATGAACTTTAATATAATTTATTTAACCCAGTATATCCAGACTACTACTATTTTAATATGCAACCAACATAACATTTTCATTTCTTTCTTTCCATGCTAAAATTTTCAAATCCAACGTTTTACACTAACTGTACATCTGAATTTGCAGGAGGCACATTTTAAGCACTGAAGTACATTTCAAGTACTTAAAAGCCATGTGTGTCTATGATCTACTGCCCTGGAGAAGCCAGCTCTATACCAGTGGTTCTCAGATATAGAACCCAGCCCAGCAGCAGGAGCATCATTACCTGGGGCCTTGTGAAATGCACACATCCTTGGCTTCATTCCAAATCTGCTGAATCAGAGGGTCTGGGAGTAAGACCCAGCAATCTGCCTTTCAACAGCCTCTTCAGACAGTTCTGACACAAGACAGAGTTTGAGAATCATTGCTCTAGACAACTGCCTCTCCGTGCCAGTACAAGTAAACCTAGGACAGAGAAACTAGGTTAGTAGAGAGGAAAAAGAACCCTCTTCTTTGAGATAAGTAGTTCTTGTAGATGAAGTTCATATTCTTTTGTATAGAAATATTCTCATCTAGATATGGCTTAATTTCTTAGGACTATGGGATGAATTACCACCCAATTTAATTTAGCATTTTGTTTATTTGTTTTTGTGGTACTAGGGATTGAACCCAGGGTCTCGTGTATGCTAGACAAGCACTCTACCACTGAGCTAAAACCCCAGGCCCACATATCATTTTGTTTAAAAAGAAAAACTAGTAACCACCTATACTATTATCTTAAGTTAATTCTTTCTCCCATCCATAAAATGGAGAATGTTTAATAAATATTAGCAACTTTAAAAAATAGTAGTGTATAAAAACAAAAAAGTCAGCAGAAGTGACTGATACTTTTAAAAGGTTAAAAAAAATAGTGGGCAGGAAGGTAATATTATAGATTTTTGAGCTGAGAAGCCAGAGCTGATTCAATTTTATTTCTTAGAACATTAGATTTGCTGAGGGTAGGATTCTTGCCAAAATCATTAAGAAAAATGATTCTGAGCATGCCTTAAAGTTGAATGTTTAGTAAACAGGAATTACCAATAAAGAAAATCAGGAAGCCAAAGTGTTTCTTTTTATGAACTCACATCCTGCCATAGAAACGCTGGATAGGAAATAAAGACTGATGCACTCCCAACTGTATACTAAACTGGCAATTATTTCATCAAGGAAAATCTGAGCAAAACCTCAGACTCAGTGAAGACAGAGGGAGAAAGAACATGAAAGGTTTGAATGTCCCAAGAAACCAAAGGCAACCAATAGCTACAATTAAACATGATCTGGAGGAAAAATGTACACAGAAATCTCTACTCTGTGATTTTTGGGTTCCTTAGGGACCGCCTGTCCCTTTCATGTTTTTCAATACTTTCTTCAGACTTCTTTCTCAAAAGCAATGTATATGTGTGTCCACAAAAGTAGACTCATAAAATGAGATTTATTTCTTCTTCTCTTGCTTGTTTTTCATTTTGATTTTTCCATGGTTCTCTTTAGCTTTTCCAGGTTTTGGAGACGGGATTTTTACTTTGCTCCTCACTTTGTTTCAGCTTGACCAGAGAACACGCTGCAATCATCCCTCTAACACCTTATCTTTCCACCCTCAAGTGGAAAGGCCAGGGAGTCCTTTCTCCTCGAGGCAAGTTCTCTCAGTTTGGGGGTAGATGGCAGGAGCTAATCTCTATTGGCTGCTCAACCCTCCTCAAAGCAGAATCGTAGGTAATATCACACACACAAACACACACACACACATCCTTCCAGCCCTATCACACCAACTCGCCACTCCACACAATCCTTAAAACACGCACGCACCTCCTCCTCCTCCACCTCTCAACCTCTCGCACACCCTACCCTGCACGCGAGCCAGGATGCCGGCTGCCACAGTAATGCTCAGCTCACTCGGCGG